TCCAGTTCCTGTCCCTCACCCCAGTAACTTCTTCCCTGTGTGTTGTCCCTCCAGGTACAGTGTGAGTCGGCCAGTGGAGACACACGTGGCAGGATCATCCAAAAACTTGGCATCCCATGCAAAGGTCAGTGTTGTCACGGTCCTGTCACTGGTTGAACTGGCCAACTTCTCTGGGATACCTTCAAGGAAGCTCCTCTGCTGTCCTCAGAGCCTCATCCAGTCCTTCCTGCTCCTTTTGGAGCCAGGGGAAGGGCACGTTTTCCCAAACAATCCACAGGCTTATGCAAGGATGTGCTTGCTTCTCTTTTAATCTCCTTAGAAAACAAAGCTGGATTTACAGATTTCTCAGCTGTTCAATTTAGCTGGAAAATTACCTTGTCCTGGGACTGTAAATTCAAGCAGCCACTTCCAGTATGAATCTGGTGGTTACTGGTTGTCTGCACAGCCTGTCCCAGGAACAACACAGGAGTGTGTTTACCTCCCTCTGAAGGACATTTATGGAATATCAGAGAACAAGACTCCTTGCAGGCCCCATCTCCCTGGTAACTGCCCAGTGGGCTCGTTGATGTTTCCTGCAGGAGAACACAGTGCCCAACCCTCTTGCCAAGGAGGAGCTGAACTTCCTGGCCCGGCTGCTGGGGGGTTTGGACATCCAGAAACCTGCTGGTGGCGAGACGGGCTTTCGGCTGAATTTGTTCACGACCGACGAGGAGGAGGAGTATGTTCTTGTCCTGCTTGGTTTGGGGTCTGGGGGCCATGTGGGGAGCCCTCCACAGCTTTAGGGACAGACCAGCAGGGTTTAGCCCTCTGTTGCCATGCTCCAGGAGTCTCCTGAGCCCTGCTGGCAGTGCCACTTAGCTCCAAGCCCTGTCCAACCTGGCCCTGTAGGCTTCCTCTGGGCATCCTGTGGGCCTACAGGAGCCTCATGAAACCTGGTTTTTGTCATTGCCTTGTATGTCTTCCTGGGATTAACCCCCCTTTTCATGTTTTCCGTCCAGACACGCTGCACAGACCCGACCAGAGGACTTGTCCTACAAGGTCATCAACATTGAAGCCACACAGGTACGTTCCGTGTCTCCCACGGCTGGTTCTCACCGCTCCTGCCTTGCCAAATTTCACCCAGATCAGTGACTTACAAGTACATTTTCTCCCATTTCACTGAAGTAACGTTAAGTAAGTTACTCTGAGTAATTGATGGCCGATTTTCTGCCCGGCTGGTGGAACTGGTGATTATTTACTAAGAGAACTCGAATCCTGGCAAACGTCAGGGCAGGTTGGTGGGGGCTGAGCACAGTGTGTATGTCCTGCAGGAGCCGGCCCGGCGGGAGGAGCTGTCCCGCATCCTGGGAGAGATGGAGGTGGCGGAGCCGCGCCCGGACAGCGCCGGGAAGGGCGAGGACCTGCTGGCCCTGATGGACGAGCTGTGACCGGGACACACCG